CAACATGTTTTTTTATCAACTAAATTGACCATTTTCTGTATGCTTCATAATTCATGCCATCCATATCTTTTAATTTAATGTCACATGGGATATTGAAGTTTATACATTATCATTAAGCAAGAGCAAGCACATTCTTTTGATGTTGGAATGTCCTATCCCATCCCATCCCAAGCAAAATCTTATGTTGTCCTAATTTTTTAAGAAAAAAATATGGGTCTTCCAATTTTCAAATCAAGATTGAAAACTTTTTCAAGATTATTTTAAGATTTTTACATATTAAAAATAATAGAAATATAACAATTTGAATCTTCTTAAGAAAATATCTATAACATTGTACTCAAATATACATGTAATTTCTAAGTACAAAATAAATTAATTTTTAATAATTTAATTAATATTTAATTTGTGTTGTATATCTTGGCCATTTTTTGTTTTCAGTTGAGTGAAAAAATATCAAATTTCCTAAGCATAACCCTAAAATTTTTTAAGATTATTTGAGTTAGAATTTGGATCGTACTAATGTTATCTTGAAGAATATTATTCTTTAGGTATGCATCTATATCAGTGCAGTGGTATCACATAATAAATGTTAATAATGCATTTACTGCAAGGACACTCTAAATTACCCTATACTACTTATTTTTAAATTAAGTATCAAGTAATTTAATTACTCGCTTTAATTATATTTATAAATTATAAATTACTTCTAAACTATTTTATTGGAATCAAAGAAAACTTAAACTCCATCAACTTTGTTTTTTAAATTTATTAAGTTTTTACCTTTATCTCTAATAAATATACTTATTTTAGAATTAAAATAATGTAAATCATTCACAAAAAAATATTTATATATAGTTTCATTTGCAAATTAATTTAATTTAATTTATTTTTTCTTTTTATGAGCCAAATTCGATTTTTGTCTTAAAAAATTATGATTTTTGAAGTAACATAAAACTACAATGAACTTTTTTTTTCTCCCCTATCCTTATTAAAATGAGAGCAAGCATTGAATTAAAAGAATAAAAATAAAAGTATATGAAGTAACCTTTTGTATTTATTTTCCTTAATATTTTAAGAAATATTCAAAACAAACAATTATTAGAATATTAAAACTTCATTTAGGAGTATTTTTAAAAGCATGTTAGAGTGAATTTTCCAAATTCTCAATCCTATTCCTAAACTTTTTGAATTTATTTGAACTGGCTCATTAAATTTTGCTTGAATTACCAATTTCAATTTGTAGTAGTCGGTCAATATATTTTTTTATATAAATTTCCATACGCTTATTTGGATCCAATTTGTTTGACTTTGCCCAAATTACCATCCGTGGGGAGCATAATTTATTTTTCAATGCATGATGAGATTATGCGCGTGTGTAAATCAAATAACCAAAGAGAGAGAATCTTTAGGGGAAATGCAGTGACTGAACCCCTTTAATAATGGCACAGTTAAAATTGACTTAAATTGAAATAAAATAAAATAATTAAAATTAGTCGGGCTCATCAACAGGTTGGGAACATAATTTACTTGTGCTTTATGATAAGATTGTACACACAAATTAAATATTCAAGGAAAATAAAAGTGATTAGAGAATTAAATATGTAAATTGTCAAGACTTAACTATTATAAATAAAGCTATCTAGAGATGCCAAATGCATCATAAAAACACATAAATGCAATGAATGAAGGTCACGTGAGCTACTCGACATTAATGATTAGGCATCACTTTAATCACATGCTACAGCTTGAAGCCTCCAATCTTTTTTTTATAAGTAAATATCCAAATCAATATGGAAATCAAGATGAAAATCTAATGTCTACAGTTAACATCAATATGAAAAAACAGTAAGTTTTTATTTAAAAACAAAATGAAGATCAAATCTTGAAAAAACAATGTCACTTCAATTTGATTTAGCTAACTTTTATGCTATGATCGTTTTGATCTTATGCTACATCCTGAAGCTTTTAATATTTGTTAATTTATCTTTGAAGCATTTAAACTTTCTTTTTTCACTTGGGCATTTTATACAAATACATGTAAAAGTCTGCGCATTAAAAGTTTTCTATTTATTTTAGAGAATATAATCAAAGTAGCTCGAAAAAGATGAGCTGATCAAAGTCTAGATCATAGCATAAGGAGGGACCCAACCTCTATACATGCAAAATTAAGAAATCCTGCAATCCATGTTGTACTTTCCCCTCCTTCAAAAGTACTCCAAATGCACACAATATCACAATGCCTACACCTTGCCACCAAGTAAGAAACATAATAGCCTTAAAGCTTATTAATTTTGAAAGTAGCATTGTTGGTTCAAGTTGTTTATGGGTGTTAGGTTATCTAGACTTGGTGGATTGGCCTAATAAATAAGCCCATAGGACTTTATTGTGAATATAAAAGAGTTTGGATTCTTAAGCATAATATTTCTTGGGTCTTTGTAATTAAATATCCCCATTGTTCAATTTGTTAGATTGGAAGGAACGATTTTTTTGAGTAACCTCCCATGTTCGAAACCAACGCATACATGAGGGTAAGTTCAGGGTTCGAGATTACTAAGTGTATTTTTCTTTTTTAGTGTGAATCTTTTCAAGTGACTGACTCTTATATTCTCTCTTGCTCAAAACTTCTCTTTCATCTGTGTATTTGTTGTGAGTTGAAGAATTGAGTCCGACCTTGTAATTAAGTTCCTGCATTATGGCATACCATTCGACACTACACTACAGGTATGTATTCCTCCTCCGAATACTTATAATGGCAAACATCACCGAAATGCACAATGCAATAATCTCACATTTGCCTAAAATTCAATACAACTACCATATACGGCTACCTATGTAAGGTGCAATATCATTGTTAATATTTTGAAAAGGGAAATATGTTGACTAAAGTTCATCATCATGTATATATAACAGAATAAAAGTGTATATTTGAAATATGTGAAAGATATAACAAATAATTATGAAATATAGTATTGCAATAAAAGAGGTATTGAATTCTCATTGTATATAAGAGACATTCTCATAGTGCCACTTGAACTCTCCATCACGACAAACTCCAAGGAGTTCCAACAAAAATGCTTATAATGCATATTACACGCATATTCTCTAAGAAACTCATATACATATTCTCCACCCTTTCGGGTAAACCAAAGATACTTAGATGAGATTGTATATTACATGAACAACTTTGAATCATGCCATGTTTGATCAAACAAACTCATCCAATGCGTGTGAGAGCTGTAAGAAATCATTTGCGTTCCTAAACTCAGAGGTTGAAGATGACATGCAAGTCTTCTCTTGCATAAATAATACCAATTAGATAACATTCTGAGACAAAAATCAAAGAAAAAAGCTCCCCCTTTTGCATTTAAGTTCATCCATGGCATGCTAACTAAACCAAAAACAACACAGGTAGATCAAACAAACTTTCAAAAAATAAAAACATAGATCCTCTCACAACTCATCAATTCTTTTGAAAAATTTAATAGCTTTTCAACTTTGCTTATATTAAATATTTGAAAAAATAATGAATAATCATAAATAGATAAACGACAAAAGAGTATCATGAAATGGTGACATATATAATTTTTTGTTGTGAAATTGTAGCGTAATTATTAAAACCTAAACATGAATTGTTAATAACAAATGTAAAATTATTAATATAGGAAGCATAATTGTTATGGCATAATTTTACTGAAATTATGATTAGTTATGTTGTTAATATCTAAACTAAAGTTATTAATCACTAAATGTTTATGAATCTTTAAATAAGAGGCAGAATTAAGAATTTACTAAATACACATTAAATAGATAGAGTATCATTTTCTTATAATTAAGACTAACAAAACTCTTTTAGAAGTTTATTGTATATGAAGCTCAAAGGAGTAAGCATTAATGTAACGTGTGAGATTGAAAAGATTTGAAGAGTGGATAATGAAACAAAAGAAATATTATATAATTAAATAAAATATAATACAAAGTTTGAAATGGTGCAGTCCTCTTGAAAGTATGGTTCCATGGTTTTCACATTCTATTGTTTTCTGATGCCACCTAATAATAATATGCAATTCAATACCCAAACCTACTTGCAAAAGTATGAAGATCCTTTTTTTTTTTTAATGCAAATATCTTCACCACAAGACGTCATATAAATGTAAATGGGTTGTCTTTTCAGACACTCAAACAATATTTGTTGGCTTTATATATATATTAGATTGTCGATTGTTAATCAATTTAGACCAAATAATTATTTTTATGATTGAGTTAGATTAGATCAGAGTTAAGTTATTATTGAGTTAGAAACAATAGTTGAACTGAAAACTGGAGCAATTTTCATAAAATTGGATGATTTGAAACATAATATTAAAAAAAAAGCCTAAACAATTTCAAAGAAAAATAAAAAAAATTAGATCTTGCTAAAAATTAACTTTATTTTTAAACATTTCACATGTATAAAATATAAATTGAGACCATTTTTTTTATAAAAATGTTGATAATTATAAATGCAAATACATATACTTTTGAGTTTACTTATATTTAATTTAACCAAAATTCACATATATTTGACAAATTATAAAATTATAATTTATAATATTATTAATTTATAATCATGTTATGTCATTTTATTAACCTACTAAATATTTTTTCTTATATTTATTTTATATATATATATTAATATTATTTTTATTTAATTTTTATATTTCTGGTTCGCCTATTAGTCTAACTCAGTTGGATCATACGAATCGTGAATTATTGTCCTTTTCAATTCAATGTGCAGTTCAATTATGAAAACATTGGTTATTATTTAAAATGTGGATAGGAGGCAAAGAAAATCTGGATTCTGATTTTCCCCATTTTTATATTGAAGATGAGGATCACGATTGTTCTTATTTTACTCTTTTGTATAATTAAAGATAATATACAAACTTTTTTTTTTGTTTCGTATTGTTTATTTTTAGAGTGTATATATAAGAATGTTGGACTTGGGAGCGGAATTGAAAGTGGGCATTATTAGAGGAATAAGCAGAAGCCAGGAAAGGAAGAAGAAGATGCGGTCGGCAACGTTGAGTCTTCCTATCATAGATCTGTCCTCACCTGATCGCTCTTCCACCGCCAACTTGATCCGCCAGGTTCTTCCTTTCTCAACTTTCTTCTTTTCTTTTTCCCTCCAAAAAAAAAAAAAAAACTTATCTCCATACTTTTTGCTAATCAGAATGCATCATATTTTCTAAAAACTTTCATTTGATTTAAAATATAAAACATTAAATAAATTTTATATATTTTTCAATCATACCTTTATTTCATTATAAAAGGTATTTTGATTAAATCAAATACTATATTTATTCTATTCAAGGACATAATTGAAAAGATATGAAAATTATTAAAAAATTAATATTTTAACCAATTTTTTATAAAAACATAAATTAATTAATAATAACTTATAATATTGTAGTCTATAGGAGTAATTTTTACTCCATTTTAATTTTTTTTCTGAATATAAGAACTCAATTTACCAAAAAAAATATATCTCAATCTTCTTTATCTATCTCATTTGATGTATTTTTTTAAATTATACCTTTATAGTTAGGTTATTGTATTGAAAAGTTAAATTTTACATACAATTTTAAGTTGGTACAAGTAATAGAAGCTATCGTCATTTAAACAAGTGGTTAGGATTTCGAATGTTAATCCTTAAATATGTAGCAATATTTTAAGAGAGGGATATTTTAAGAAAATAAAGGTATTCATAATTTTTTACAAATAATTAGGTAACTCAATTTTTAAAATTATGTTTCAATTACTGGTGATTTGAATTTGATCAAATCAAAGCAATTTTTTTAATTCGTGGGGATTTAAATTTAAATTTGAACCAAATCCTTTAATTAAATGCATAAAATTTTATGAATTTGGATTTGTCTAAATCCAAGCAATTTTTTTATTACAATTCCTTTAGAATTTCAAATATCTAATATATATACTATTATTTTAAATATCAACATTTCTCTTTCAACATGGTAAATATGTGGACAAGTCACCAAGTAGGACAACATTTTCTTTTTTAATTGTGTGGATTTTTATCCCAACAAATAATTTAAAATACATTGATTTTAAATGAAAAATGTAAAATTTAAATTCATACACCCAAACACCACTTTAATTTATTTTGAGGAGTTAATTATTGGAGGGAGCATATATAGCTAATTTGGTCCACATAATTGAAAATATATATAAATGGGAGTAAAACATATATTTATATGTTTTAAAAATTGACACCAAGGAAGTGGATCACAATCAAACTCAAATGTTGAAACTGAGTTATAATAATATTGCAGGCATGCACTGAGCACGGATTCTTCTATCTAGTGAACCATGGGGTGGAGAAAGAGTTGCTTCAGAGAGTTTTTGAGGAAAGTAGAAAATTCTTCTCACTTCCTATGGAAGACAAAATGAAATATCCTCGCAAGGACCACAGAGGTTACAATCCCCTCTATGTTGAGAAACTTGATCCTACTTCACCCTATAGAGGTAACCTTTTTCTTTTTTTTGAAAATTACAAATAGATCCCTAACAGGGGATTTATTTATAATCCACCAAATTTGCTAATACATGCGATAAAAGTACTTTAGGTAGTATTTGAATAGGTAGATTTGGATTTAAAACCTTACATTTTAAATTCATGTATCTAAAATTCTTTTATTTAAGTAATTTACATAACAAATGTTATTGCTATTAAATAGTGTTTCAAATGTGCATATGAAGATTTGAAATAATAAATGTTTAGATAGAATTTTAAATTATGAATGAATTAAAATAAAATTTAAATCTTCTATAAATTTTTAAGTATCCAATTAGGGAATTTCACTCAAATTTAAATTCAAATTCATATGTATTTAAACATAGCATTAATGTCATGTATATGACAAGTGCAAAAGATGAATACTAAGTTATTTATTTGTAAATTTAAAAGTGGAGAATATTAATGAAAAACTCTTGAAAGAATTAATATCTAACAAGGACTTTGGATAGACCAAATACTTGTTAATAATAACTTTATTTATTAATTTATTAATGTTTACTACTTAAAAATCTTTTTAAGAAATTAAGTTTCTTCTTCCAAGAATCGGAAATTTGTTAATTAAGTTGTTGGTAAAAAGTTGAAGGGAGAATGATAAATAAGGACTCTTAAAAATATAGATGATATTTTATAAATAAAACTTCAAAATTTATATCTTAAACTTTGATTACAATGTGAAGGTCCTTATTTTATACTAATGTTCTTTCAGGTCTTCAATTATCATTTTCCATCTAGAAAATTGATTTGTAAATCACAAACTTTGTCAAGGGCCAATTTCTTTTATCTCTTTTTTTTTTCCTTAGGTTAAAGGATATTTTTGTTCCTCAATTATTTGCTTAGGAGCTTCTGTCATCTTAAACTCTCATGTGTTGCAATTTCACACTTCAACATTTCAAAATGATGCATTAAACACTTTGCTATTAAAAAAATTAATTTTGATTAATAGTTGACTTAAAAATTGCAGAAAATAACTTTAAAAATTACAAAAAAGATCCAAAAAATTATACATAAATATCCTATGAAAATTAATATTAATTAAGTCCCTTAGATTACATATAAATAACAAGATACAAATGTTATTTCTTATTCACATAAAAGGCCAAAATACAATTTTGACCAATAATTGTTTTAGAGACTTAACTGATATTAATTTTCTCATGTGGTATTTATTTTTAATTTTATGGGTCCTTTTGTATACTTTTTAGGTTACTCTTTGTAATTTTTTAGTTAACTAACAGTCGAAGTTAACCTTTTTAACAGCAAGAATATACCATTTTCAAATACTAAAAGGCAAAATTGCACTATATAAAAATTTAGGATACCATGTGCTTTTAAGCGAATAGTTAAAAGATAAAAATATCTTTTAATTTTTTTTTTTCACTTGTCATAGATAACACTCAAGGACTTTGAAATTTTACAATATCTTAGAAAATTTTTCTAGGACTTATTTGTAAATAATTTTTTATATGAGATTTGTCTGTAAGTTTTCCTCTTTTTTTTGTCCTTTCTCATTTTGGTGTTAATCTCAAGCAATTCTAAGACCTGTTTGTTTAAGATTGAAAAATAAGTAATTATTGGATATTTTAGAGATTTTATAAAAAAAGATTTATTTTGTAGAGATTTATAAAAGATTAACATTATTTTATGTTTGGTTACAATAATAAAAAAAATAATTATAGTTATTTTAAATTTTTATGATATCTTCTTTTATTTTTTTTATAAAAATGATTAATTATTATATTATTTTAAAATTTTATGATATCTTTGTGTATTTTACCTTTTTAAAATACTTTCTTTTATCTACCGCATTAAATTATTTTTATAAGTTATTTAAATAGCTTCTTAAAATAATCAAAATTCTACTTTTTTCAGATTTTGATTATTTTTAAAATTTTAGACAAATATAATAAAAGCTCACAAAATAGTTTTAAAAAAAATAAGTAATTTTTTCATAAAATAAACTAAAACAAATGTGCCTCTGGTAGGGTTTAAGAGTTTTAATCTTAAGTGACACTTTCAACTGTGCCATGAACAGGTGATTCAAAAGAGAGCTTCTACATTGGTCCCTTAGGAGATCCTGCAACAGTGAATCTGAATCAATGGCCTTCAAATGGTACGCAAATTATATTATTATACCATTTTGTTTATGTGCTTTTTGTTACGCCAATAACACATGGTCTTCGAATTGGATCCCCCAGAGGCACTTACAAAGTGGAGACCCACAATGGAATCACTATATTGGAAAGTCTTGTGAGTTTTGTTATGTTATTGATCATGCAAATTGAATACCAATTTTCTTGTGTTTTTTTTAATTTCTCTTCTTATCATAACGTTCATATATAATTCAAATTAATTTAATTTGTTCTCTGCCGTATATATAGTACTGCTGCAAAAGAGACACTATCTTTATTGGCCATGTCTCTGAACCTTGACGATGATTTCTTCGAGAAGATTGGAGCCTTAAGCACTAACAACCCAGAAGCTTTTCTTCGCCTTTTGCGCTATCCAGGTTCGTTTGTAGCACAACACAACGGCAAGGTCGTGTTCTTTACTTCAATAAGTTATAGACCCGGACAACGTGCGGGCTGGCTTATATGGGCTTGGCTTGCTTGAACTCATTTAAATTTTAATTAGGTATAATTAATTATGTATAATTAATTATGTATAATTTATTTTAATTATAATTGATTATATTATAACGCAATCTTTTTTAATACTATTTTTTTAAAATTAATTTTAATAGAATTAAACATATTTAAATAATTTAGTCAAAATTAATTTAGCTGTGCAAATTATTATATAAGACATTGCTTTTTAAAATTAAATTATTAATAAATTTGTATCTAATATTATTAAATTTATTAAATTTTATTTAAGAAGTAAAATATATTATTTAAATTATATATCTTATTAACCAATATAATAGTGATCCATTTGATATTTATATAATTATATACTAATTAATTAGAAATTTAAATTATATTTTAAGGTAATATTAATAACTTAATTTGTGTGTAAAATATATATATTTGGTAAGGGGAGACGGATGGGGGAGCAGTGGGGTATAGGAGCACACAAGAAACACCATGAGAATAGAGAGAGGATATGAGGGAGGGGCATTTGAGAGGGGTATAGTTGGCAAGTCAACATTTTGACAACCAATAAATGCTGGTAAATGTAAAAATTGAAATTGACAAGCAAGTGCAGCCGGCTTCAAGTAAAACGTGATTATAGCCAAAATAATTGATTATGAAGAAATGGGGGTGTTTGGGTATTTTTTCCCCAAACCAAGATTTTAGCCAAAATAATCGATTCTTTGGGAAATCCAAAGAAAATTGATTATCTTTTAATGTCCAGCCTTTGTTGAGTGGGTTTAGGGTTGGTTTTGAAGTCCCTTTTTTATTTTTTAAAGTTTTTTCAAATCAAGTATGACATTATAACATTACATATTCATTATCTAAAATATAATCTGTAATATTTTAAAATCCAAAATAAGTAATGTCAATCCTAATTTTAAAATACAATCACATATTCTCAAGTTTAAATTTAAGTTAAAATACCTCAAATTTTTAGGTTTAAAATAAATATAAACTTAGACAAATAGTTTGAGTCTGTCTTTCACAAGCAGGACTCAAAAGCCCTATCATGCAAAGATTCATCAATTTTTAAAGTCCGATCCCAAAAAACTGGGTTTAAAGTTTACACAAGTGGCCTAATGATCTCAACCATATTCCTCAATCTACATATTTATTGTTCTTAACGACTTGAACTATCTAGCAAATGAATATGTTCTCTATCTTAGAAACCAGTGTAAAAAGGTGAATTTTACCTGCTGTAAAATGTTTTTTATTGTAGTGGTGATATTTATGTTTGCTGGGTTGTTATTAACTTCAATGATATAAGCTGTGTGTTATATGTTCACCAACTATGTTAGGTGAAGTGGAAGATGATGAAGAAACATATGGTGCCTTTGCACATTCAGATTATGGCATGATAGCTCTCCTCATGACTGATGGGGTCCCAGGGCTTCAGGTCCATTCTAGTTTCTTAATTAATAATTAATTCCTTAATTTTAATATTAACCTATAATTTCTTTACAAGTTAATGATCACTTATTCTAAGGCTTAATTAATTGATTGATTAATTAATGTAACATTCCATACTTACAGATTTGCAAAGAGAGGTCCCAGCAGCCTCAGGTCTGGGAGGATGTGCCTCACATAGAGGGGTGAGTACATGGGCTAATAAATAAATAATAGAATTTGGATTTTGTGAGATAAGAATTCATGTATTTCAAGTTTAATTACGTATTAAACTTGTGGTATAATAATTTTATGATTATATATAAAGTTACTGGATTGAAAATCAATGCAAAACTCAATAAATTAACTACATATTTTCTCCGTTCAATATTATATGATATTTTTAACTGAATTATATCTTCAATAAATTAATTAATTATCTTTAAAATTACATACTTCTTTCATATTTATCTTTATTTAATAAGATGTCTCAATTAGAAAAACTTATTAATTACACCACCCAAAATACCTTGTATTTATTAACATGATTTTTGTAAAAAAAAAAAATGCTTTAAAATACTAAACGGAGGGGTATATATTTTGATAGAAAATATTTTCAACCTTTAACAAAATATAAACCTAACCATCACTCAAAAATCTGAAGTAATAATACTGGTCTTGAGATGTAGGTTAATTGGAAGCACTTAATATATTCAAATAAATGAAATAAATTATATAATCTCTAGAAATAATCAATATTTACAAAATATAAAATCAATAGGCTTATACTAATCCGGTTTGAATTCGCAGGGCCATCATAGTGAACATTGGAGACATGACGGAGAGGTGGACAAATTGTGTGTACAGGTAATTCATCATCATGTCATATCACATAACACATAGTATAGAAGCTGTTAATCAAACGTCTTTGGATTGAAAAAAGCTCATTTAGTAACAAATCAAATTAAAGTCTTTTGTAGAAACACACACACAAGCCACTCTCAATCTCAACTAGCTTCATTATTCTTTTGCAGGTCAACACTGCACAGAGTTGTGCCAACAGGAAGAGAACGCTATTCTGTAAGCCACTTAATTGCAACTATACTTCCTCGTTTGCTTTATTTTGTCATTGTTGATCTTATTATCTTTCTTGAATGATGGATTATATGTTTCTAAAGGTGGGCAATATGGGGTTGCCAACTTGCCATGAGTCGGGTTGAGTTAGAAAAAAGCTGATTCAAATAAAAATATTTTTTTTTTTGCCTCAAACCAAATAACCATGAATCAAAAACTTTAATAGGTTAAAGTTAACCTATTTAACTCATATTATTTGTAAAATATTAAAAAAATAAATGATTGAGAGAGTTTTGGTATCACAATCTATAAGACAAATAGATTTGAAATGAATAGTGATAAAATAGATCAACGTCATATGTTTATGATATGAATTTTTTCAATTATATGAAATATCATATTAAACTTTATTATTTAGGTATAATTTATTTTATAAATTCATACAAAATAAATAAATAAATTGATAGATTGCCCATTTGATTTACGAGCTTATGAAAATTAAATCAGGTTAAAATTTTTTTAATTCATATAAAAATGGGTTGTACCAAAGTACTTTACCCAACCAAAATATTTTTCAACTCTTAAATAGCGCATGTTATTCCCTTAAGTTATGGGAGTCAGCCATGTGGGCCCTACTCAGAGTTTTGACCAAGACATTTAGCATGTCCATCATCCACATAAAAAAAACTCAATAACTCAATGAAGAATTTTAGAGCAGGATGATGTTTTTTTCATTATATCAAAGATTGGTGAGATCCTTTTAACAAAGCTTTAGGTCAAGGATAAATGACATTAAAGGATCAAAAATTGAATTAAATTTAAATAAAGATCAAAATATTTAGAAATTCAAAATAAGGATAAAAAATCTTTTAATAAATTGGTCTAGAAATTTGATACTTTTATGCCATGATTTGCAAGTGAAATTCAATAATTTGTAAAGAAAAAAACTTCTCAAACATATCATTACTTCCAAAATTTAACAAGTTTTTCATTTATAAAGTAACAAATTTCACTTACAAATTCTTGTTTTTAGGGCTGCATATTTTTGATCCTTTAATATCATTTCCTTTAGATTAATGTATACTCCTTTTGTTTAAAAATGTAACACATTTTTTTATTAAATCTCATTTCCTAATAAAATAGTTATCTATTTTCTAACTAACCTTATCTTTTCACATTTATCTCTATGAAACACTCTATAATAAATATAAAGTCATTATCAATAGGGACACTTTTAAAAAAAGGACAATGATTACACTTCAAAAGATTAAAAATGTCTTATATTTTTGAACATCCAACTCTTCAAAAAATGACTTACATTTTTTAAATGAGGGAGTACTCTCTAAAATATGGAATAAGAAATTCCTCTGATGTCATATAGTGTGAGTATTCTAATTTCTAAACAAATTGAGTAACCCTTCTGATTTTGGATCAATTTGGTTTCATTTTTTTTAAAGTAAAAACTCATTTAGGTAAGTATTTTGGATTTAATTATTTTTACAACTGTTCTCATTTTTTGTTTTTAAAAACAAAAAAATAAAAATATCTTAAAATTATTTTCATTTTATTTTTTTTATTTTAAAACATACTAAATTTAATTATTGAAAAGTATAGTTAGTTTGACAAGTTCTATCATAAACCACCACTATTAATTATTTGAAACTGTCACTATCAACTTATTTTTTAATCCTAAAATTATATTTAAATTAACATAACTAAATAGATTTTTTTGTTTTATTTTGAAAATCAATTTTAAAACTTATATTACAAAACAGCTTTTAAAAATAGATATGAATACAAAAACGAAACGGGGCCTTAATTATCATGATTGGGCTAATGAGTAAATATGCTAAATAAATTATATTTTTGCTTAAGATATTGTAATTGTTATTGTACAGGTGGTTTTCTTTTTAGACCCAAACCCGGACACTGTTGTGGAATGCCTTAAAAGTTGCTGCAGCGAATCATCTCCGCCCAGGTATAAAATTTATTTGTTTCTGTAATAATGAAATTAAAATATTTGGGACATTTTTTTTAAATTATCTAAAACTTATTTATTTTTAATCTTAAACAAAAAGCTTCCATATCTTAAATAATTCTTCGTGAAATAATTTGTTAGCTTGTGTTTTTATTATTGATTACTAAGCTAAAATATACATATATCTCCTTCAACTAAAAAAATTAAGAGAGAAAACTATGAAAAATGAAAAAAAAACTATTTTTTGCAATTTTCGCTCCTCTATGATTTTTTTTTTTTCATCCAAATCAACGATCAAGCCCACAATTATCATCTTTCATTAGTGAAACTCCTAAGTTTGGACCAATTGCCAAGCCAAGAGCTTACTTTGGTCAAGGGATGCAAAATTTTAAACTCAAAGGTATGGGTGAAAAATATAATAGTAGGTCCATGCACTTGGATTGTTTTTTTTTTTTTTATTCTTATAGTTTGGTTACAATGTTTACAGTCCCTTTAATTTGACTTATCTGTGATGTTAATCCTTGTAGTTTTAAAAATACAAACAAATGTTAAGGTTAAATGGTGAATTGGCCCCTAAATTATAGATTTAGGAACACCTGTGGCCCTACACATATTGTTGGTAAAATGTTTCCCTTCAATTTTTTAAAAATGATATAATCTAACCTTTATCATTAATAAAAATTAATTTTAACAGTTAATTAATTAGAAAATTATAGAAAAGGACCAAAAAATTAAAGGATCCAAAAATACAACAAGGATCCAAAAAAATAAAGAAAATGAACAATAAAATTTGGGTAAATATAAATTTTAATCACTGTACTTTACTTGTGTATTTTTTTTAGTTTTTATACTTTTTTTTTAGTGTTTTAAGCCCCTATATTTTTATTTTTTATTATTTTCAGCCCTTTTATGAGTAAAGTATAAGGATCTAGAAAGCACCCAAAATAATAAAAAATAAAAATATAGAGCCTTAAAATACTGAAAAAAAGTATAAGCATCAAAAACAAAATGCAAATAAAGTACAAGGATTAAAAGTTATGTTTATCTAATAAAATTTTATTGGTTACCTTTTGTAAATTTTGATATCATTTTCTATATTTTCTAATTAATTAATAATCAAAGTTAATTTTTTGTTAACAATAAGAGTTAAATTATATTAATTTTAAAAATTAAAAAATAATATTGTACTAAAAATGAATTTTGGTCATAGAAACTCCTGGATATATAATTCAGAAATCAATTTCCTCCTTTACCCTAAAAACTAGAGCTGGCACTCTATTAATCACTTTGCCAACATGATAAAAACATGTTGGTATATACATGTACGTGTGAGAGAGAGAAAATAAATTCATCTTATATGATTAATAATAAAAAGGTTGGGAAAAAGTTTTCGTTTTATATTTGACTTGAATAGAATGTGGGAAATGAAGTTAAGATTAATCATACGAAGAGTTAAAAGAATTAAATACACATTAGAAAAATTAATTATATTGGTGTTAGTTCATAACCTTTATGCACATTTTTTAAATTATAGAGGTTAACATCGCAAAACTGATTAAACTAATTAAAAAGATTGAAAATGACATAATAAAATTATAAATATTAAAAAAAATACAATCAAAGTACAAGAACTTGTTATTAAGGCAAGACTCATGTAAGGTAGTGGGGAACCCCATAAGCCAAGAAAAAAATTACATGTGATGACTTTAAATATTTCATGTTTCCTCATTCATAGATTTCAATTGCCCCTGCCCTCTCTAAAGAGGAAAAAAAAATTCATGTGTCCCCGTACAAATTTATTTATTCCCTAAAAAAATTATTTATTTGACCAAAATTTTACTTACTATATGTTATAACCTTAAATGACACGTTTTAGAAAGAATGGAGCAACAATTTAAAAAATAATCTTTTTGATTGTTTAAATCAAACTTTTATCACAAAAAATTGATGTACAATACAAAAGAGTTAAGTAAGTCTTATTAATTAAAATAATAAATAGGATCCTAATAGATATAATTTTTATGTTGTTGTAATTTTATATTTAAGCCACAGTTCTTTTGAGGTGTTTAATTTTAATAAATCTTACATTTAATATAATTTAATAAAAAATTAAAATTAATTTATCAAAAAATATTAATTTTTATCTTAGTTACAAATTTTACTACCACTAACTAATTTTTCTGAGCTGCCTATTATTATATTTTCCCTAAAACTGCAAGGCACATGGTTCAAAATTTTAAGAGTATGGATGCAAAAAATTCAAACACATACCATAAATAACATATTTATACTTTTTCTTAAAGTGAGAAGTGCGTTTGATTCTGATGTATAAATGGCATCTGTCTAAATTGCTGGGCTTGATCTTGGTTTAGATTTTTTTTTTTTTCGCGGATAATCAAAGGAACGTGATCCTAGGTTTACATTCTAATGCTTCTTATTTTGGGGCCATAATTAGTGACTAATAGATTAATGGTAAAAAATGAGAAAATGATAATAAAATTTTTTTGAATTATGTAAATAATAATTTAATTATTTGAAATGTCATAATATCAATAAAGTCTCTCTAGACCTCTTTGTCAATAACTTTTTTTAAAAAAAGATCATTTTACCCTCACTGATAAATTATAATTTCTTGTTCAATTATTGTAATTTTTTTGAAGAAAAGTTATTATTCTTTAAACAAAAGTTGTGAATGGAATTTGTTTTTTTAAGAACTTATTTTTTAATAATAGAAATTATACTTAACAAATTATAATTTTTTGTTCAACTCTTGTGATTTACATAATATAAATTATTATTTTTTAAACAAACATTGTGATTGGAGCTTGTTTTTCAATAAAAAAATTACATTTGATAAATTATAATTTATTGTTCAATTCTTACGATTTATATAACAAAAGTTGTAATTCTTTAAATAAAAGTTATGATTGAATTTTGTTATTTTCAGTAAAAGTAAAATGATCTTTTTTTCTAAAAAAATTATTGATAAAGAGGTCTCTAAAAATTTCATTGATATTATGGCATTTCAAAGAATTAAATTATTATTTATATAATTTGAAGGGATTTTATGATTATCTTGCCTAAAAAATCAATGTATTTTGACATTTTTTCATTTATTAATTTTACGCAACTTATTTTTATTTATTTTTTTAAAATTTATGGTTTAATAATGCAGATTCCCGCCAATCCGCAGTGCAGACTACTTTACGGAGCGTTTCAAGCTTACATATGGATCATCATAAGTTATTATCGGAGAATTCCATTCAAGAACCTTCAGATTATTACGATACTTTCAATAAAATGTTGTGAAGAGGGCTGCGAGCTTTAATAATAGATCCGATGCTTTCCATTATTGCAAAGTGTGATGGTTTATATATTATAATTATTAATAAAGGACTAAAGGGCATTTTAATCTTTAATGATTTGCTCAAAAACGTTTGGTATTTTTTTTTTTTATAAAAGGACAGCAATTAGGCAGTGGTACTAGTGTCTTGTACCAGAATTATATTTAAACCAGGAGGAGATGAAAGAAGAGGACGAAGACTAGAAATACAAGATAGTGCCATCTTGGCAAAAAAATCAACAGTTTTATTAGCATCTCTTAAAATACGTTAACTATGCATCATCCACTCTTGAGATAGAAGAGCATGAATTTCAACAATGATGTCAGCATATAGGCAAACAAATGGTGTATCATTTTGGATAGCATCAATGGCTTCCCTTGAGTTAAATTCTAAGACAATCTTTCTATATCCAAGGTCCTAAGCCAATTTGAGGCCCCACATATAAGCCCAAAGTTTGGCATTCTAAATAAAATCAGGAATAAGGGCTAGATCTGGAGGGCCGGGCTTATAGGCCCTGTTTAAATAAATGTTCGGACTTTAAAAATTATTTTTTTTCAAAGGAACCGGGCTTGAAGGCCTGACCCTAATAAGCCCTATGAAAAAAAGCTCGGGCCCGGGAGGCCCTTCAAGCCCTGATAAGCCTGATTATTTTATACATACATACATACATACATATATTTGATTGATAATGACACAATTTGGTTAACATTTATTGTAAATGATGAAGAAGAATTTATAAAAGTAATTGACATTGAATTTTCATCTCCATCTTCATTTTTCAACAACTACACTTATATTCAAGAGATCTAATATTTTATTTATAGATGATGAAGATGAAGAAGATTTGGGTTTTGATTGATGAATGTGTGTTGTTTAGATTTCTAAATATGTTGTTTAATTTTTAAAATATTGTGTGGATTTTAATTTTTTAAATTTCAAAATATTTTAATTAATTTATAATATTTAATTTTATTTTAATTTTTTTTATTTTTTTAACAAGACTTTCGGGCTCGGCCCTGAGCCCTTTACATAAAGGCCGAGCTTTAAAAAAGAGACTAAAAATAGATAAACGGACTCAAGGGCCTAGGTCCTTAAGGGCCGAACCCGCCCATATTCCCACCTATAATTCTAAACTTATACATGGCACAATTTTTCTTTTCCACATTGAAAATGGGTGCACTAAGCACCTTCTTGTTAAAAAGAATTAGCTTTAATTGTTAGTTAACCCAAAAAATTATTAAAAAATTCAAAAATTATAGAAAAAGATCAAAAAATAACAAAAAAGTACCATATAATAAAATTGATATCAATTAAGTTCTTTAAGTTGTAGAAGAAAATATAATATTTTTTTAGTTATTTATTGTTATTGTTGCCAGTAATTTTGATTCATTAATTACTCAATATCTTGACATTTATATATAGTTTAAAAGATTTTATTTGTATTAATTTTTTATATGTTACTTATGAGTAATTTTTGAGTCTTTTTTTATAATTTTTGAGATCCCTTTCTGTAATTTTATGGGTGAATTAACGAGTAAAGTTAACTTTTGATGGTAAAGTACATACTTCATCATTTTTAAATATTGAAAAGAAAAAAGCATACTATATGATACTAGATACTCTTAAATGAATAGTTAATGAGCAAAAATATTTTTAACCCATTAATTAATAATAATTAAAGACCAGATGCTTTACCATTTTCTCTGTTTCATTCTATGACTATTGATGAAACCATCAATATCTAAATCTAAATATTTATATAATTTATAGAGAGTCCTTGTCAATAACATAATTATTTATAATCTAATAAATAATGCATAAAAACTTATTCCATCATTATTCCCAAAAAAATTCATTTCCTTTCCCCATGAGTATATAAATAAAGTCCTAAATAGTTAGGAAAAGAAGTATTACCAAGATATGGTTAAATTGAATTGAAGATAATTGAAATGTACGAAGAGTTATTCTATTTGCATATATATTAAATAAGTATATATAAAAAGCATGATTAATATATTATGCGAAAAATAAGAGAGAAATTAAATAAAAAGTAAAAGAGAATAGCAGGAAAAAAAAAACACAGAATGAGACAAGCAAAATAAAATACCCTTGTAAGTCACTGGCCTCCTGAAAATAATGGATTATGAAGATATAAAGATAGGAGATACAAGATAAGTTTTAAACCCATGCACGGGGAATTTAACGTTTTATTTAGTTTGAAGGCAATGGAAAGGGCAAAAAAAAAAGAAGAAAAAGATTTTAATGAAATCAAAAGACACAAATAACAATTTATTTATATTAAAAATAAAAACAACATGTTTTATTTTTAAATTTTTTAACTATATAAATATAAATATAAATAATCATTTATTTTAGTCAGATTAATAGTCAAAACGGTCAAAGATTATCAGCAGGGCAACATTATATCAAATTAAAAAAAACGTTAAGGCAATGTTGTGTCAAAAAATACTTAAAAATATGAGGTGCACTTGGGTAAAAATTTTGGGATAAATTTGTAACTTACTCTCTCTGTTCAAAAATGTAAGGTATTTTTTTAGGAGTTAAAAATTTAAATATGTAAGACATTTTTAGTCTTTTAAGATGTAATCATTATTTTTTTTTAAAAGTGTCCCTATTAAAAATGACTTTATAATTATCATAGGGTGTTTAATAGGGATAAATATAGAAAGATAGGATTAGTTTAAAAGTAAGTAGCAACTTTATTGGAGGGATAAGATTTGATTAAAAATATTTTATATTTTTGAACAGAGGAAATAATTTTTAAGAATAAAAACTAATATTTAGTTTTATTCTTGCACAAAATTATTTTAATTTTTTTTTATTTCATAACACGTGATCCCCTCATAAATTAATATTAAAAAACTTTTTTATTTGAAACTTTTTGACATATAACCCATTTTGTAAAACCAAACTCAATAAATAGTCTAATATTTGTCATATTTCGTATTATAGTCATTTTAATATTTAGTTCAGTTTTATATGACAAAACCATCCTCTTTGCAAATGATATGGCCTTCTTTCATATATTTTTTTTTTGAACAAAAATCATCTTTCAAGTACTCGAAGACAAAAGATAGCTTCATTTGACTCTCTTTCAAAAAAAAAACAAGGAAAGAAATGACAAGATTAAACATCCTTATATCTATAAGATTAAATGACATTGATAAGTTTTCATTGATGTAGTGTATATCACTGATAAACTATCATAGATCAAGAATATGAAAAAACATAATTATTTGCCTAAAATAAATCAGATATAGTCAATAAAAAATATTTATTATGAGAAATGATGAGATCAAATATTTATCAAGTATTCCTATATTTGTTAATATTTATTCCTATATTTTAACTTATCACAGAGAATCAAACACTTAAGAAATGACGAGATCAACTACTCCTATTTTTATAAAATTAAATGGTGTTGATAAGTTTTCACTGATATAATTTATTAATTATATACAATTATATATCACTGATACATTATTATGGATTAGAAACACGAAAAAAACATAATCATTTATCCAAAACAGATCAAACACAAATTGTAATAAAATTTTGGACATCTTATCTTGCCACATAGAATCAAATACTACTCTGCAATGAAAGTTATGGTTTGCATTCATCTTCGTGCAAGGAAGCCTAGCAATAAGACTTGTTTATAAAGGCACAAAATTGAATTACTCACGTTGGGACATCTCTTGCAAAAGATTGCACTTGTTAAAATAACAAGAAAGCAATATGTAAATATCATTTTAATTCTTCTGTTCACCAAGAAAGGGAAGAAATTATTTTGAAAAGGAAAGAGGTATGATGGATGTGTGTGTAGAGATTTGATTTAGTCAATTAAAGGTTAAAATTATTTCGTTAGTTATAGGAGATATATTTGTGCACTAGTTTATGCAAAGCATTTTAACAATATATTTATACTGTAGGTAAAACAGAAAAATCACCTCTAATTAATTTTATGAATGAGCTATATTTTAAAATATTTAAAAATCTCATCCATAATTTTATGGATACTGTATTTTTCATGGTGATTGGACCAATTTACTCTTTTTAAGATTTCCTATCTTGGTGAAAATTTTAAAAGTAAATAACAACTTATATTTTTCATATTAAATATGTATTTTATAAGATAAATTGAATGAAATACATATTAAATATGCAAATTTTTCAAAGTTGTTATTATTTAATGGAAAAACCTTATACCCTTAACCTTATATAGTTAATGCGTAATTTTTTTCAAAGTTGTCATTATTTACATATTTTTCTTAGAGGTATATACTTAATGTGGTTTTTTTTATTATTTTCTTTTAAGCTGTTTGGTTTGTATTTCACTTTGACCGCAATGTGTTTCCCCTAAAAAATGTGTTTTTTTAAGGAAAAATTTATATACTTAACTTTATATATTTAAGATAGATCTTACCTTTTTTTTTTTGGGTAAGAGATAGTTATACACCCTCATTTACTTATATTTACACTCCTTTCTCATGGAAAGGAAACTCACACACCCACCAATATGCCTACTCTGGCTCAAACCCTCATCCTCCCTATAACAAGTTGGTACCAAGTGAAGCAAATGATTCTTAGCATTTAATATATTTTTTTAATTAAATCAGGACATGTGAATCTTTGATATATTATTTATTCCATAATAAATTCTTATTATTAATATTATTAATATATTAAAATTTACTTATTTTGAATTATTGGATAAAAATATATGAAATATATAAAGCTAAGTATCAAACTCTTGCCCTTATTTAATATGCACAAGATAAGTTGTCATTTAAATATGAAATACATATTAATATTAAATTGCATATTTATAATATATAAAATATGTATTTCACTCAATTTAAATTTCAAAAAAAAGATCTAAACAATAATTTGTTTTGTTTTACACGTTGTTATCTCGTGCATGTTAAATATGTATTTTATAAGTTCTAACCCATGCAAATTAAAAACTTAAATAACATATTTAATTCTTGAATTTATTACTTCATATATTATGAACGTTAGGATATGTTGGATGTTAGAAAGGATGTAAATTG